TGGCTATTTACATATGGTTTAGGCCCAAGTGTGAAATTCCTTTTGGGTTTGGGTTTGGGTTTGGGTGTGAGGTGTAGCTGTCGTCATCTTAGAAGTTTGTCGAGCACCGCAGGAAGTGTATATCCTTGACATGATCAATCGATCGATCGATTGATCGATTCCCCTATGTATTTGCATACCAGACATTAAGTTCACAAATTACCAGCTTCGTCTCTTCTCGTAATTTGTGATCGTGTCGGTAATTGCCGAGTAGCTCCAACTGAAACATTAACTGAGACTCGGAACGAAACCGACACCGAAACTAAAACTGGGGCCGAGCTTTCCCTTTATGGGTAGGCTATAAAAACTTATTGACAGGCCAAAGACAATTACCAAATTGTAAACGCTGACCAGGCCCCTCGGCCAGCACGCCGTCGAGGACAAGGTGCAACCGGAGAGCCGCTCGGTTCCAGAGAGCTCATTAAACTGCACTTAACGAGTGGAGCAACGCGCTGGCAATTGGCAATGATCTCGATTTATGAGCGACAAAGTGGAGCCTCGATAAAAGGGCGGCCTGCGAGACGAAAACTGGGCTAATGAAAGCGTTAATGTAACTCTTGGCCGGCCGCAGACGAAGATCATCATCGTTCCCATCGTGGTCGTAATGCTCCACCAATGATGCTGATGCTGATGCTGATGATGATGATGATGAGGATGCTCCGTCTCGGTCTGGTTGTGTCCCTGCCTCTCGTATTTGTTTTAAATCACTTGGCCAAATGCCAGACATAATTCATGCTTCTCTATAGGTTTGTTTTGCTCGTCTGGGTGTGCATATGAAGCATACGCCTCCGTGTGCCACGTAAGTCATCCGCTCAGGTTCTGGCTTCGACTCGGACAGTGGTTCTGGTTGTGGCTTTGGCTTTCGGACTGGGAGCTGGGAGCTGGGCCAAGATTTCGTTTCGTTTCGTTTCGTTGCAAGGAATTTGAATTTGAACGCCAGACATTTGGGCGTTGCACGGTTGTAAATTCATTTGTTAAACGATGCGCTCATAAAATTTGCGCCCTTTTTTTACGGCCCCGAACTCGACTCCAACTCCGAAGCCGAGTTGCGTTGCGTTGAGAACTTGCCAAGGCCCCAGAGCTCACAGAGCACACAGGACAACAAGGGGCGTGGCCGACTTCCATCTCTGGCAGGTCTGTGGCAGCAGCAGTGCCATTGCGCCGTCCAGGGCCCTGTCCTGTCCCTGTTCTGCCCCTGTCCTCCCCGGCCCTCATCGTCGTCGTGTCCCTGCAGGCAGATAAAAAGTTCAACAGCAGCGCGATTTATTTGCCAGAGTCGTCGCCGCAGACACGGCGCCAGCTGAGCGGCTTTTGGGCTGCCAGGAGCTTGCCCTCGCCAAAAATTCTACAATAATTATATATCTCACACATACTCTTTCCCGCACATACACACAAACACACACACACACATGCAAATTGCGAGAAGAAATTTCAGCTAATTTGCCAACATTTAAATGTACAAAAAAGCCTGGCTGATGAGGCACAGTCCCAGTCCCCATACCCATACCCATACCCATTTCCACATCCCAACCACAAGCACTCATCCAGCTGCCCCTTAGAGCGTGTTAATTCGACGTGTTTTTCGCCGTGGCCAGCAACAGCACGGACACAGACAGACAGAAAAAGTCAAGAGAAAGAGAGAGCCATTTAGGGCCAAGTATTTGCACTGCGTGCGATGCTGGGGATACGGCTGCGGCTGCGTCTGTGGCTGCTGCATCCTCATGAAATTCATGCGGATTTCATGGAATAAAAACTCGCGTAAAAAACGTCAAATTGCAACACCTCGAGGGCACACACAGATACAGGTACAGGCGCACAGATACTCGCACAGAGCCACTGACACCGAACCAGAATCGAGAATCCAGAGTCCAGAACCAAGCACAGTCCCCAGATCCACAGAGGCCATAGAGGGGCTGTCTCAGTCCATAAGTTAGCCATGTCTTATCCTCTCCACGCGGTCCTCTCCTTGCCATCCCAGGGCCTGCCCTCATAATAATTGCGTATCTGGCAGATGCAATTTATCCGTGAATTTGTTTTTAATTTTCAACACATTCGCTAATTTGATTTTTAACTTCGTTTCGAGCACTGCCTCGGTCTCAATCACAGACAGGCCCAACCAAATTGCTGCACCTAATCGTGGACGTGGATGTGGTCCCTGGATATGGATGGGGATTGGGATTGGGAATGAGAACGAGAACGAGAATGGGATGGGATGGGATGGGATGTGGATGATGCTACGAGAGAACGAACAGTGTCCAACACCCGCTTTCATTTATAATTTTGTGCAACTCACTTTGGTAAGGCCCATGCCCATTCCCATTGCCTGGCTGTGGCCCAAGACGTTAGTCCCCCAGGTCTGTTCCCAAGTATGAAGTGTTTTTTGTCCTCCTCGACCCCTCCGCGAGCTTTTTTTGTATCTTTTTTAGCTGCACGGGGCGCTGCTTGTTAGTCGCGTAATTTATGTTCCACCAGATACTCGTTGGCGTTGCTTGGACCGAGGACCGAGGACCGAGGACCGACCAGCCACAGTCCGCTCTACAGCTCTACAGCTCCACCGCCCTGCCTCTTCCTACTGGGCACGTTTCGCGGGATAGTCCACCTCCTGGCCGGTGCGGTGTCTTGGCTTGTCTTTGCTTATTCCCTTATCCGTTGTTATCCATGGGACGAGTTGTTTGCGCAGGCGCAACCCAACGGAACGCAAGAGCCACAAAAAATGGTAGGAAATAAAAATACAAATCGATTTTCAACGCAACGATGCAGCGCGATCCCAATCCGATCCCGATCCCGCGCCTCAAAATGCACAGTGAGCGTGAAAGGATTAAGGACTATTAGTGGCCACAGACAAAACTGTCCAAAGCAGTTGCTGAAGAGAGGCATACGATAGGGATAGGACCTCCCCTCCACAAGTTTGTGAAATGGATAATGATACATTTGGTGACCTCTTCAAATGAGCGTCTAAACTTCTAAAAACCCTCCTTCTAAACACTCCTCACACTCTGAACAACCTCTTGGTAACCCTATAGCATATAGCATATGCCATATCTACGGGTGACCTCATCAGCTCTCCCTTCTCTTTCCCAATGACTTGGCCTGGCTGCTACCACTCGCACTACTGCCAGCAACTATAATCCACACCTTAGCTTTATGGCCAATAATTTTGCTGGCAACAAGAACATGAACCGGAAACATAACAAATCATAAATTAAACCCTCGTTAAGCGAACTTATTGCACTGGGCAGTGGAGCGGTCTCGCCCATGCGCCATAACTGGGTTCGGGATCGGGATAGGGAACTGGAACTGAGACCACTGAGGGTCCTCCTACCTTTCTCCCCCCTTGCCACACCGCACTGCATGCCACTAAAGGAGTCCAGGAGTTCGAATTCGTTCATTCGTTGTCGATGCCTGGTGCGTTCTGTTCTGTTCTGTTCTGTTCGGTTCGGTTCTCTGGAGTAATTTGCTTCTTCTTTATGCCTTTCAGTTTCAGTGCGTGGCTGTGAGTTTTATTTTATGTTACTACTTGTTTAAATTATATTGCGCTATTAAGCGAATTTAATGAAAACGCTCCGAGGCCCCGACGTGCGAAAGGGACGACCGGAGAGTGTGCGTGAGAAAGAGCCAGTTATAGGGTGCTCGTGCTCCTCCATCACGGCCTCGTTAGGTGTAAAATAAAGTTCAGCAAATCGAACGTGTTGAAGTTGTTTCTCCATGATGATGATGATGATGATGATGATGATGATGATAACGATGATTGTGGCTGATGGTGGATGGGGAGCAGCAAAAACAAGATAAAGATTAAGATCCAGGGGACAATCAGTGGGTCTACCGGCCACATGCCGCACAAATTGCGCTTAATCCATTGGCATTTCATTATTAAGCAATTTTCTGCGCTTTCCAGCAGGACGAACGCAATCCGCGGAACAACACACAAAAAACCGAAAATCCGTTCATCTTGCTGCCGGGGCAATTTAAATTTTTATGCAATTTGTACAAAAATGCTGTTATTTTTGCACAAAAGTAGCATAATTATTTCCGAGAACCGGACCCAGGGCCTGAAATGAATCGAATCGAAAGCGTCTTGTTCCAGGCTTTCCGACAAAAAAAAACACATGTCAACGAAAATCATTGCAGACGACACATTATCCTCACGGCAAAACGATGCTAATCCATCACGGAACCAGACTGGGACTCGGACGCAGACCCATATCCACATCCATCTACAGCTCCAGCTTCAGCAGACGAAATGTCACTTAAGCATGTGATCGAGAGAAGATGAAGGGAGAAGCGAGAAAAGAGAAAAGGAGAGCTCTCAAAATCAAGCGAATGACATTAGCCGAGGGTCAGGGATCGAGGATCGAGGATCGGGGCAGGGCCAGTGCTCCTTATAGCTAACCAAGTGCGATCAGCGATCAGTTATGAGATCAGAACAAAAGAACTCTTACTGTAAACGAGGGCAGACCCCAGAGCCAAATCACGACGCACAGTCTGGCAGAACGTGGTCGCTGATCGTCGATCCCGATCCCGATCCTCGATCCTCGATCGGTGAATTATGCGCGACATCATTTTAAATCGTTGTAGCAACGTCAAAGCTAAACACCGATCAGTTCAGCCAAGGCAACAGCAACAGCAGCAGCATCAACAAGAGGAACAGGCAAACACAAATCGAACAAAAAGAGACCCACTCTGGACCCCGCTTGGGCCATTGTCTTTGAGTAGCAACGGTTAGCAGTCGTCGGATCGCCGCCGCCCTAATTGATGCAGCACGGCCATAAATTTTGATCGTCCAACGACCGCTCAGTCCCCATCCCGTCAGTCCATCCACATCCACATACACATCCCCAACCCCAACCCCATCCCCATCGCAGCTGCAGGAACAGCAACAGCAACAGCGATCGACGTGTTGGCCTTTCAGAGGAACTGCCCTAAAACGTTGCCATGAATACATCAACATCGACATCAGCATGAACATTGCATTCGAATCCCTTTATTTGTTAAACAAAACTGTGTGTCTAAAACTAATACATGTATTACCCTGTCCCTGACTCTTGTGCTCGCTAAAACTCTGGCACTGTGTGCGACTCTGCCCCAGAGTCGAGATCAACTTCAAAATTTGGTTCTGCCATTGGCTCCTCGCCGAACAATAATCCCAAGGAGTCAATCCCTGAATAAAAATCGTACTCTTCTGTGCGTGAATCTGACTTGGGCTCTAAGTCTGGATCAAAGTCGCCCCCTTTTAGCCCCAGGGAGAACTCTACGCCGCGACGTCGCATTTGATTGTGGTATATGCCGAAAACACCTTTCAGTAGCTTATCCTTCACAACAGTACGTTGTCTCTCCAGTATCAAAACCGTCTGCTTCAGATAGGTTACTGGGTGCATGGGCCCAGTGGAGAACAATCGCTTAGCCCTCTGGTTGGGCACGGACACCCAAATCTCGGAGTGCAGTGCAAAAGCTATGAGTATCCCGTCCTCCAGAATCCGCAGTTTGAAGGGCGTATTGAAGCAATCCTCGTCCTCCTGGGCCGTGTAGAGATCGACAGACTTAAGGAGAAACTTCTCGCTGATGACATCCACCGGGCCTACATGAGCATCTAATAAAGTTGGCAATGGCCTATCGTCTTCTTCATCGTCTTCCCAATCGGAATTATTGTCTGCATCAGCAGAGTGAGTGCGATTGTCCTGGTCGTCTTCTATTGTGTCGTCCTGATAACCTTCCGTGTACTTGATAGGATTATCATAAAGGCCGGTAATATAAAGCTTTCCAATATTCGGAAAGATTAGGCCGCCCTTTACCAGCCACTTGTCCCGGGCATAGAGAACATCCTTGAACCGCGAGCCCACGAAGACCGAATGTCTGTGAAGGGAAAAGTATAAGACACTCGATGTCCATCGACTTTGCAACTCTGTACCAACCCAATCCACTCGGAGACTATAACATCAACATGAGTCAGGCCAAAGGGCAGCTCGATCTCGGAAATGGGACCCTTCATCGGCACGAACACATTGCCATATCCATGAGCGGTGGCATTCACCAATACATATGCAGCAGCACTCTCATTGCCCGTGGCAATGACCAGCGCAGCCCCAGCCTGGATGCAATACTGACTGAGGATGCCGCAGCAGCAGCCTACGTCCAAGACAATCTAGGGTTCGTAGGGGGTTATTGGACGGCCGGAGGAAAATTGCATCCTTCCATATCTTACCTTGTTGGTGAATAGATCCAAGTTGCGGTTAATAAACTTGCATAAGGCGACTGCAGACTTTTGATCCATCACCATATCTAGCGTATCATTCTGTGTGTCCTGCGATTCGCTGTCCCTATTGTCTTCCGAAAGCCCATCAGGATCCTGCTGCTCTGAATAATCCTCTTCATTCCCCGAATATGTATGGTCCTGATTCTCATCTATATAATCCAAATCTAAAACAGATTCATCTTCGATTTGCTCCTCCGGGATCCTTTCAAAGCCCATTTCTATCTGGGCCAGCTCCAATAGATCATAATCTTCGACGGGAATAACATCACACTTCATTTTTATCTCTGGACTCTGGTGTGTACTCGAAAAAAAATTGTTTTAGTTTTATTCAGAAAGTGAAATACAATTATTAGTTTAAAGTGAGTTGTTACGCGTTCGTTGACAAATTGAGAATATGTAGAGGTGATTCAAGTTAGGCATCGGAGTTTTAAACCAGTGCTTCATTGATGAAACTTTTTCTCCCAGAATTATGAACTAGAACGCTAGACTGAATGCTGAAAACATTCCCATGCCCCCACGTCTCCACTGCTTATCGCCAGGCGAGAGCGAGTGGCAACAATTAGTTATGAGAAAAGTGTGGGATCGCAGCACCTTATCAACAGGCTCTGGCAGGACTAACCCCATGGGCCCAGGCCCGGGGTTAAGCTGTCTAACGAGTCTCTAATTTATAGATGGCTCGTTGCGCAGTGTCCCGCTCCGTTGACAAATGCCAGCAATCCGATACCCAGACAACAAGACGGAGGAGAACAAGGAATGGCTATTGGAATGGGTGAAGCGGGAAGCAATACAAATTGAGATGTTTGTTGGGCCTACGCTGCGATCTGTAGCTGTGGCTGTGGCTGTTGTTTAGAATTTTGTTAATGTGCGCTGCAGGGAGCAACGCTGGAACAAGTGTTGGCCAGAAATCAAAGATCTTCGTCGTTGCCCGTTGGACGTTGCCTCATTTGTGGCGCTTTTGTGTGCGCTAGATAACCAATATTTTATAATCATGTCCAATAATGGTGTGCATATTAATTTCATGAACGTATAAAGCAGTTTTATGGCTTTTTAAGAACTGCCATTAACAAAGGCCGGCCATGCACAAACACAAAACGAGCTGACAAGAGATTTCTGGAGCCTCTCGACCCTCGAAATCGACACAGAACTTGTGTGTTGTGTGTGTAGGGCACCTCGAGACGAAACGAGACAATGTAAATGGCTAAAATAGTAAATAGAGTTATAAACGCATAAAAGGCGTTCATTGTGGGCCCACGGCGTTGGCTTTCACAAATTTATACGACGGGCCATCAATTAATTAGGGGAGAAGAGCAGCAGACACAGACATTTTCACATTCCCGACTGCGTCTGGATTGGGGGATCTAAGCTCTTTTCTGGCTTCGAAATTAATTTGTTAAGAAAGTCGTTAACATTTCGATTTCGGTTGTCCACTTTCTAAGCTTCGACGCGATTGATTGCCGTCCCCGAGGCACTTCTCGACCCTCGTTTAACGACCCATTTTATGGCAGTTATCATTTCTGTTCAGCGCATTTAATGGTCGACGCGAATAAGGCGAATATCTGTTGATGGCATTTGAGTCATCTCACGATCCGATGCGATCCCCGATCCCCATGAGCTACAGCTTCTGAGAGGAGTTAAAGTACTTGAATTGCGACGCCTGGCCCTTGGCTCCCTTGGAGCGGATGCCCAGCTCGAAGTTCATGCAGCGACTGTTCTCCGAGCTGGGGAACATCCCGAACCCGCCGATGATCCGTTCTTTGGCCTGGACATAAAGGGGATTGTCCAGGTGCAGGACGGTCTGCTCCCAGTGCGTCCAAGGCGCATGTGGCGAGGTGGAAAGCGTCACGGGCGTCTCCGTCTGGCCCCCTAAGAAGGCCACGTCAAAGTACAAGATCATCGAATGGATTATCCCGGTGCGGAGGACCTCCAGTTCAAACATAGAGCGAAACTTTATCGGTGTGTTTGGTGCGCTCTCCAGGCGAGTCGTGTGCACGAGATAGTCGCTCGTCAGCACATTCTGGGAGGCTACACAGTCCACGACCGCCTCATGGGAGACCTGAATCTTGACGCTGCTCATGTCGAAGCCCTCCACGTTGTTCCAGAAGTCATTGTTGAGAGACCGATGCGGATCACAGGCACCGGCTATCCACAGATTGGCCACATTGGGCAGGACCAGGCCTCCGGGGCGCAGCCACTTGTCGCGGGCGAAGAGCACCGAGTGCAGCATGCCCTCCATGTACAAGGCGTTCCTAATGAGAAGAGAAGTAAGTAGGAGAGTGCTCCCTGGTTCGGTTACTCACCCCATCCACTCGGACACGATTATGTCCACCTGCTGAATGCCATCTGGCAGCTCAACCTCCTCGATCAGCCCCTGGACAACATTCACCACGTTCTCCTTTCCATTATCCTTCACTATCTGACTGGCCAATGCGGCAATGTCCGCGTTCTCCACTCCTATCACCTTGCTGGCCCCCGCCTTGGCCGCAAAGAGCGAGAGAATCCCCATCCCGCAGCCCACATCCAGAACGACCTTGCCTTCGAAGAGCTGTCGGTTCTGTTCAATGGCATCGCGATAGGCCATGGTGCGCGCTGTGTCCTTTAGCAGGTCCATGTGCGTCTCCAGGCGAGAGTAGGTCTGAAAGAAGACGCTCTCCTCCACTTCCTCATTCAGCGTGAGATTCTGCAACTTGCCGCTGGAAACATCAACCTGGTCACCAGACATTCCGACAATTCACAACTAGAAAAAGATTTAAAATTATATATGAACTCGAATCTGATCTGACACTGTTGTATATAATAAATACCACACACGCACTATGTTATATGTATGTTTTTCTTAACTTTTTTAACTACAATATTCATTTTTCTTTTCTCGCAAAAAGTCATGCATTATGCAACACTGCATCTTATCTGTCAGAAGCTGTTAATAAAATGGTCACATTGTCTCATAATCAGCTGATGATGCGTATCCGCATTTTGTTACAAAATTACGATTTGAATATAAACGGACTTTACGAAGTATTGGAGGCTAAGAAACCCGACTCCAGCTGCAAAGAATCTTCTAGCAATTGGTAATGTCTAATATTTAAGCAACTTTTCGTACTGCCATTAAATAAGAATTATACTTCACTCGTCGCTCAGACTAGAAATGTATGACTCCCTACTAGAAGTGGGAAAGAAGATAAGAGTGCACCCTTTAAAGGGATCCGAACCATATACTGACTCTTGGTAAGTTTAAGGCATTGCACAGGTTGGGTAATATGATTTATTTTTGTACCGTCTATATCCAAGCACCGCTAATTTACTTTACTTGGTTTACAGATCCACTTGCAAGACACGAAATCCATGTGGTTCCAGTTAGATTTAATAAGAACGGATTCATTTTATAAAGGAGAGATTCAACACCCATCTACGAGATCGGACCATAAAAAGGCCAACGCAAGATATCCGACTATAGCATGCCAATAGTATCCAAGAATCGGTTATATCCTCTATCTCTAGCTACTCAAAAACTCATCAATAACATCCTATTCCATCCTCTCTTTTAGCATCTCAATGGAAAAAACCAGATAAATCAAAAGCCACCTTTAATGGACCCATTAAAACTTCCAAAAAAAAAAAAGGTCCACCCACGCAACCGCCTATCACCAAAATCCGTGAAAGAACTATGCCGCCAACACCTCAACGCCGTCCGAAAACCCGTCTAATCCGCACAGCCCTAAAGGCCAGGTTTATAGCCAAATTTTAAGAGCTCTACCGGTGCCTGCCGGTACGGCACTACGATCGAGCACTTTCACTGTGGGCCCAAAACGAGAAGGCTGAATACAAATTGTGCAACATGCGGCCAACGGTTAAAGTGAAAAAATACCTGGATATGCCCGTCATAATTTTTGAAGTGTCATAAAAATATCTCCATAAGCAGACGAAACTATTAAATTAGCTCATTAATCAATTTAGTCACAGAGCAACGATAAAAAGGAGCACACACGCGAGGGATTGGAGCACAATAAAGTATAATTTTTAATGTTGCTAAATTTTATGCTAATTTGCCATTTTGGTCGTTCCATAATTAGGCCCGCTCATCAGGCGGGGGGTCTCTGTCCCCCTCCTACCTGCGATGGCGACTGGGAGTGGGCCTGGGCCTGGCCAACAATCGAATCCATTTATTCAGCCCTGTGTTCGGGCTGGCTTTAAAAACCTATAAAGCTTTTGGCACAAATCAATTAAATAGCTACGCAAGTTTCCATTAGTGTGGTGCTGTCGCGGTGCTGCTGCGGTGTTCCCATTGAGAATGCCACCCACTGTGGCAAATAAAAATGCGTTGATGCTTTGCATATTCAATTCGCTGATGTCTTCTTCGACATACTTGGAGCGCATTTGTCGTGTATTACCAAATGTCCGACATCAGCCAATTATGCATGAATCAGAGGAGAGACTAGCTAGATTTCCACCTGCTGACCCACAAGACGGCCTGGCCATAAACATAGAAAATTGATGGCTCTACCACTTTGGGCATTGTCCCTAGCGGGGGGCTCGAAGCTTGTGTTTGAGGGTGGCTGGAAGTGGCTGCGGAGGGTCGATTGTAGTCAACCACTTCATCAAAAGGAAATAAAAATAATAATAACATGTCCTCACTCGAAGGCCCAACAAAAGGCTACAAAATGTACCGAAACCAGGGGTGGATTGGCCTATCATAATCGTTTTAATAGAGAGCATACCGTAGACAGCAAACCACCTCCACTTTGACACCACATCTCCTCTCCCCTGTGTTGCTGTGTGGCTGGACAATCAGTCATCGATTAACCAGCGAAACCCAGTTCTTATACGATGCCAATGCCAATGCCAATTCCAAAATCCAATCGACTTTCCCTGGGGTGTTAACGATGCGGCAATTTGATTTTAACAGAGCTGCCACTCGGCTCTGAGCCCTGGCAATCCTCCCCTGCGGATGACCAAAAATTAATTGCTGGTTGTGCAAAAATTTGATTGATGCACTTACTTTGGCAAAGAAATAAATAAAATTTTTGACACTTGGGAATTTTAATTAGAATGCCTTTGTTTCGGACCTCGAAGCGGGCCTCAGACCTGGGCTCTGATGAAGTCGTTTCGATAAAATGCAAAAATTTCGCACCAAACTCTGTCCAATCCCTACCTCAGGTCCCCTTTTGACCATTCCTCTGTTGGCCAATTAGCGCCCCCCTGGCGGACAGTGGACGGACAGGAGCTCACGATTTTGGAGCGACTGATAAATTAGCAAAATTTTAATTTGATTTCCTTCACAAATTTCCGCTGAACTGGGCCTCGCGTCCCCGCATTGTCTGGTCTGTGGCAGGAGCAGTGGTAGCAGCAAATAAACTAAGTAAATTTATGGCCCTAGGGCAAGAGGCAAGCAGCAAACGTGTGCGACATGCCCACACATTGACACCTTGCCACACCGAGCGGGGCAAGCCCCAGCCCCCAGCCAGCCAACCACACGGCAGCGGCAGTGGCAGCCAGCACACACACTCATCTAGAACTCGAAACAGTTGCAGGTCCCTTGGCGTATTTCGTAGTGATTTTTTGTTAATGCTGGGCAGGCACAAACGCGCTGACACTGCCGCATGGAATCGAAGACGAAGTCGAAGTCGAAGTCGAAGTCCATGCCCCATGTCCATGCCCATGCCACGTACGTGCGGCCAAACAAATTACAGGGAAATTGCGTCACCTGCAGGAATTTCCACTCAACATTGTCAAATGCCATCAAAAGTTGTTGGACATGTTGTAACATTAATTTGACATTTTACTGCATTGGACAGGGGACAGGGGACCGGGATCGGGATCGGGATCGCATCCAGGAATCAGATGGGATACCAGTCCACAGCCTGCATGCATATGCATATCTGACTAAACTCCTTAACAATCTGGCCCCGGCTGACCGCAGAGAAACACAGGACAACGACAGCTGTCGGGAAGGATGCTGGAGCCACCAACAGATCTCGCAGATCGGCAACTCCTCCTCCTCCGATTCGGCAGCTGCCGCAATCTGTTGGAGTAATGCAAAAACATTTTTGGCATTAAAGCAAATTGATGCGGTTGCGAAATCTCATTGCCGGCGCACTGAATCTGATTTGCGGTCATCGCAGGCTGGAGCTGGAGCAGGAGCAGGAGCAGGGGCATCCCCAGCAGTGCAGCCCTCTTGTTAACCCGAATTCGGGTAGTACCTGGTACCGAGTAGATGTTGCAGATGCGGAAGCTGCAACGATTCATTTACTGCGGTGGCGATAATTTGTTAATCGAAGCACTGTCCCTCCTGCTGCTGTTCCGTTGTCCAATTAAACCAGAGGCCATCACCGAAAGTGGGGTGGGAATGAGCTCCGTGCAGGCTTGTTTGTTTTACGGCCGACGCTCTTTTACGATGGCATTTAGCTAAACTATCCTGCAGGCGCAGGCTGCAAACACACGCCCCTGGGGAGGCTAGTCCAGGGGTTGTCCGTGCTGATGGTGCAGCATTTAATGCGAAAACGTGCCCCCAAAGTGGGCTTCGATTAGCGGCCGGGAAATGTGGAGGTCAGCAGCAGGAGATCACGCAGCGGCCATTATGGCCAGAGGCACGCCCGCTCCTGCCTAATCGCCAACCATTCCTGCGACCCATTTTGACGAGTCGACTGGTATCCCAACCTGTTCCTGAAATTCGGGCTTAAATTGGAGTTACATAGGTGTTATTTATTCAAAGGTTTCTTATTTGATAACCATACATATTCGTTGAACAAATTTGAGGTTAAAATTACTTCACACCGAAAAAATACGAATTTTAGCATAATATTATTGTGAATTTAGAGTTTTTTTTGGTTCTGAAGACGTTTCTGTGTCCGTGTCGCTGTCGGCGACTATGTGACGAAAGGGTACACATTTCTCCTTAAGTTCGGCGCCTCTCAAATCCAAAGTACCCGCGTCCGAGTCCGAGTCGGAGTCCGACTGTCCACAGTCTTCCTCTAGGTGAGCCACCATATTTAAGTAGCCAACATCCGAGCTGGGCTGCGACACAGCCTTCTGTATTTCCGACATAGCTTCTTGGAACGATCGGCAGACATTGGAGTTCCGATCGTGCACTTTTCCGTATCGCTTAAAATGCTTTTCAAAGTCAAAAATTTTATTCTTTGGCACCTTTGCATAGTCGCACGTGCCGTAAAAATAGACATTGTATGCACTGCCAAGCTCATTAATAAGTCGGCCAGGCCATGCGCGAAATCCTCTTACTTTTCCGAACACGAACTGTCCAGCGGTGAATGGAGCCTTCTTTATTCCCCTTCGATTTCCCATTTTGTTCAATTTTCCAGATATAACCTCGAAATGAATGCAAACTCACAAATTGATCGGCTGTTCAATTTTTTGCGGAAGAAAGGTGCCAAAAATAAGATTGCTCGATCTTCTTTTGTTGAGTTGCCAATGCTGCCAGATCGACGATATCGATAGCGTCGCAAGCTCAAAAATGGTTAAACAAATTAAAATGTTTAAATGATTATGATGTTAAAATATTACAAATTCCATCTACTTAGATGCAGACAAAATAATTAATTAAAGATTACAAAAAATAATTTTGAGCTTCGAGTGCTGCCAGATTGTCGTCTCATGGTTCGCATGCGCGGCCCGCAATCTAGTTCAAATGTAGAATATGTGTGTATATGTATGCGTATATGTATATGTATGTATGGAATAAAAATCAAGATGCTTTCGCACAAATTTAAGGTTACATGATTTTATTTGAATTGCAGTCTTGCTTATTTATAAATCATTAGAAGAGAGCACGTGGTGGCGATGCTTTATAGAGAAGGAGATATAATATATCTTTGATCAGCATTAATAAGCGAGTCGATAGAGCCAATTTTCAGTGGCTAACTGATTTTCTGTGATACACGTAATCGAAAATTTGGTAAGTGGCTATAAAAGTACACCGTGTACCACTTGCTATGATAACAGACTCCCTATTGTCTCCCAATTTTTTTTTTTTCTTTTATTTTACAAAAACCGAACAAAACAAATTTTCGATATCGACTTGGACGCAAGGTTGCTATCGATCACATATCGATGCATTGTAAAATTGAGTTCAAATTTGAATTCAAATGGCAGATCGAACTGGGTCATATGGTATGACCGAGTATTTGTGGGCGGTCAACGATTCCGTAATGAGCAAACAACATTTGCATTAATGGTCATTGGCGTGGAAATTTGCGCGGACATACAGGCAAGCGAAACACGCTACCCTTGCCTGTTTCTGTGTGCGATTCTGTTTTAAATTTTCGCTCACGTTCGTCGTATTATGCGCAAATTGGCTTTTTAAATTGTCGACTTGTTTAAGCTAAACGCAGCTACACTTTATGGCCATGTTCCGCGCTGCATTTTAAACCACGCGAAATTCCACTAAGCCAAAGATATTCGCCAGCGAGCCCTTCGACTTCAGCTTCAGCCCTTTCCACCATAACTCAATTATAATAATTTTAATTTAACACAAACATGGCCTATAAAATTTGCAAAATTGCATTATTTACCAGCCGTAATTACAACCATATTTTATATGCTAATGAGCCTTGCACTTGGCATAAATGCAATAATGATGGGAAATTAACCAGAGCCGAGTTCTAGGAACCAGTGGCAGCCCGAAGGTGTTGGATCTTTCCCCCAACTTCTGCATATAATATGTACATACATATATGGTGGTGGGTAGGATTGTCTGTCCATGGAGCTGGTGATAGTGGCGACCTCTCCGGACTGTCACTTGCCGCCGCAGTGCTCAGAATTCAATTAGAAAATGCAATTTACGAGCCAGCCACGAGACACAGCGCTAATACCTATCAGGCTCTGCCACAGCCCCTGCCCCTGGCACAGCCTTTCCCGTTCTAGTGTGGCAGGCACAAAGCACATTAAGCAAACAAGCTGAAGGCGGCACGGGGGCAAAAGCTACGCATGTAATTTGTAAGTAATTTTTTCAACTATCAACCGCCCAGACAAACGACAGCCACAACAACGACGACAACGACGATGATGACGACGACGGCCACGCACTTCACCAGCCCAAAATGCATTACAATTACACGAGGAGAGAGACATGGACAGGGAGAGGGAGGACAGCAGCAGGAGGAGGCCTGGCCAAGAGGCACAAGCCATAGCGTTAAGCTGGAAAAATTAAGTAACGAAACCATTGAATGACCAAGTGAATAGGATTGGGAGTGGGAATGGGAATGGGAAAGAGAATGGGAATAGCAATGACCATGGCCAGCGACAGGCAAAAGAGCCCAGGCATAAATTATGAATCATTTAGACGCTTCCTTATGACACCAAAAGGCAGAAGAAGGCACCAGGCTGCCATCCCACCAGGCAAGCCTCAGTTTGATGATGCATGGCCGCGGATGGGCCATGGATGGGCCCTGGCCGGAGCAGGAGTGACGTGGAGTGGTGCTTGGTGATTAACAAACGACAAGCATTGTGGCCCCGAATGTCATGCTTTCTATGGCGACTAACAAGTATTTATGTTACGATGAGGCTTGTGCCGTTTTATTGGTTTCATTGACTGGACATGGTCAGCATCAGCATCGCCAGAACCAACCAATATTTACGTTATGCTTAGCCAAAATGCTAATTGAAATGTCTGCACAGAACGAGACGATTTCCCATTGCACTTAGGCAATGGACAAATGGACAAAGTCAGGGGTGTGTCTGGCTCTAAATGGCAACTGTGGACATATAATCAAATTGGAGAAAATCGACCATAAAATCAAGTCGAGCTCATCAACAGGTTTGCGGAGGAAGGCCAATGGGGCTAATGAATGGGTTAGCTGATTGCGGTCTGTACGTACAGAAGAACAGGTCGAGCCGGCGCTTGGGAGGGCAATGGCAATCATAACCCAGATATATAATGACATTGTTGTTGCAGATGCCTTCACACTAGCGAAATGGAAGCTTTCTCCGATTAGAGGTGTCCTCCAGTTCATCTGAGATATCCTCACCCTCTCAATGGGTCTGTCTGCAGGCACCACTGAACAAAAGACTTAAGGCACGAACTCGGCGCAATTAAGGCACATTTCCTGCAACACAACACCAGCCCCACCTCAATTGTGTGCATAATTCGCCATAGGTCCAAGTCAATTAAGAGACTCTCTAATTAAGTGATTAAAACGCACACCCGCACACACACACACACACACACACACACTCTGGCAAAGAGTGGAAATATGCAAGTTCATAAAACAAAGCCAGCCGCATGCCTCACCTGGCAGAGTCCACACCCGCAATTCTGATAAGAAGTGAGAAGGGAGCTAGGTGGGGAAGGGTGCGGTGTGGTGTGGGCTTTGCAGTTTTCCAGGAACAAACACGCTTTTGCATTTTAATGCCACACAAATGAGGCGACGAGGCAGACGAGGCGTCCAAAAGCGGGCCAGCCAGCCGAAGCCGGCCAAATGGACGAATGTGAATGTGAATGTGATGGTGAATGTGAATGTGAATGCGATGTGAGTTGCTGGCACGCACACACGCATGAACACACCAAGCAGCTTGTTTCTGGCTAATAAATGTTTTTTTAATGAATAAATCACTCAGCGATAAACATCTCTTTAATAACGTTCATTTAAAGAAGCGAAAACAAAACACACACCCGACAACAGCTCGAAGAAAGAGCCGGAGCCAAAGCCAGAGCCAAAGAGCAGACAAAGCTCTCGGCTGGGAGGGAGGCAGCACCAATGACTCGGCGTTGATTTCAGGCATTTAACATTTGGAGCCGCAATAGACAAACCCTGAATGATTGGGCCTAGAAACGCAACCTGAAAAAAGGCATCGGCAGAAAGAGAAATCCAAGAAATAGGATCCCACACCCATTCGCATTGTCTGCCGGCTGTCTGCAAATGCCAGAAAATTTATTTTGTATGTCTTCTTCATGTCCAGCTTGATGGCGAGCACAGCTGACACATGGCTCCTTTCCGCCTCCTCTCCTCTCATCTCCGATATGAAAATTAATAATTCCCTGGCCCGGGCACTTGGTATGCCAGAGAGGTTTACCAGCTGGATAGGATAGGATACCATACCAGACGCGTTCTCAGACTTGTCCAGTGGGGCGATCATCAATGTCAATTAAATGCTAAAATGTTGGAGGCCATTTGTGGGAGTTCGAGCAGGATATGGGGAGTGCATGTATCCCAGATGAAGTTATCTCTGCCAGCAGGGTCAAGCCGACCGGCCTCCTACTCATATTCATATGGCAACTCCAACCGCAGCTCCAGCGTCTACTCCTACTCCACCCCATTGGACATAAATCTACGCCTTCAAATCTACATATTAACGCCAGAGCCTGGCCAACTCAATGCCAACGGACAGCGCCACAATTGGCCAAGAGTCGGGGCCAACACGACGATCACTTACTTTATGATCACTTGAAAACCAATCAAGCATAATAAATAATCTTTCTGCAGCAGGGACAACAGGAGATATTGAAAATTGCGCACACAGATGGGCAGCCCGAAGTCGGACGGACACGGGCGCAGGCACATTAAATTATATTCACACTTTGGCCCCCAGAAAATGAAATGGTTTTAAATACAGAGGAAAGCCAAACAAGCTGCAGATCGCATTGAAGATCAGCAAACAGCGGACAAAGGAGAAGGCAGGATGCGGACCATGGACATGGGATGCAGCGGAGCCTGAGACTGTGGGCAACTCCAGGATGAATCTGGGACCCAGCACGTACGGCATGGCCTGGACCCTGGTACGATCTGTCTGTGGCTCTGGCTCTGGCTCTGGCTCTGCCTCCGACTGTGGCTCGCTTATCATCATAACAATAATGTTAAAGTGGCAAAATGGCAAACTATGCGCAGAATGCATAAAATTTATAACCAACAGGCCCTGGCAATGGCAAAACAGATTTGTAGTTGTATCGGTATCTGCATTATAGTCGACTGCCGCCATGCCGTATGTTGTACTTCACGCTTCCGCTCCGATCGATGGTCAAATGTTAAGCGCTGAGGCGAACACGATCACAATGGGACACATGCGGTGGCATCCATGGAGGGATAGGTTACCGAGCAGGACTGGGATTCGCTCCCTGGATTTGCATTGAAATGGATGAGTGTGAACGGTTCAATCTGGGAGATCGGCTTCTGTGGGGCAAAGTGACAGATCGCTTGAACTCTTGTAGATCGGCCGAGGACTGATATTAGAAGCTCTCTATACTAGAGATCGCTGGGCATTGAAATTGCCTACCATTTCTCGTGGCTTTCGATTGGTTTCTCTCTGTCCATTCGCATGATAGTTTCTCCCTTGATTAATGCCAGACCAAGAACTCTCCTATTGATCAGCTCTTAGCCTTGGGGGCTGCCATAA